AGGCTGGATATGTGCTACCTGTCACGGCGAAGCTGTGAAGCTCTGTCCAGGGTTTTCAGCTCCCAGTCCTCTAGTGTAAGAAAGCTGGACCTGAGTAACAATGACCTGCGGGATGCAGGAGTGAAAGGGCTGTCTGATGTACTGAAGAGTCCATGCTGTAGGCTGAAAACTCTCAGGTAAGAAATCAGCAATTTCTTAAAGAGATCAGCCTGGAAATGCTTCTTTAAATCCCTGTTAATGTCAGGGAAGATTCCTACGACTACTTGAAATGTTGTGGTTTTCTTGATTCCAGTCTGTCAGGATGTCTGGTCACAGAGGAAGGTTGTGCTTCTCTGGCCTCAGCTCTGAGCTCCAACCCCTCCCATCTGAGAGAGCTGGACCTGAGTTACAATCATCCAGGAGACTCAGGAGTGAAGCTGCTGTCTGCTGGACTGGAGACTCTCAGGTATGGTCAGACAACAAGAACTCATCAATATGATCAATGTCTCATTTCTCTTGAAATTGCTCTAAGGAGTGTAAAGGTTACTGGATGGAAGACACCCCTCATTGGATGGAGTGACAAACAACAGAACTAATAATTCAAGTGTATTCCATTACATTGTGTTTTAATATTAATAAAGTTGCTCCAAAAGTTGCTGATTCTGTTAGTCATGTGTAAATATATAGAAAATTTTTAATTTCAACAGAGACAGGACTCTTATGACACCGTCTTTCCCATCTGAGTGTACGTCAGATGTTTTCTTGACATAAGGACAATCACCTCTTACTTTTCGGCAACAAAATAAACAGAAGAGACTGAAATAAAATGAGATTTGATGTCTTAGTGTCTTCGAGGGAATAAAGGTATTATAAGACCCGTATAATTAATCTATAATCAAAGAGAATACGCTGGTCTGACTGTGTTTACTCCTCCAGAGTGGACCATGGTGGACAACAGTGGTTAAAACCTGGCCTGAGGAAGTGTAAGTTGTGGATTCAGTTCAAATCATGACATGAAAACATCAACCAGTTAATTTCTGTTGATCTTTACTTCTGGTATTTATTCATTCATATCATAGCAAAAACAAATAAAGCTCCAAATTTCATTTTCTTCTATAATTTGAATTAGTTTTGTCATTTTGTCTTTAAACAATATAGCTAAGTTGTCCATGTAGAACAAGTAAAAAGTAAAAATTATAAACTGCTGCCATTGTGTCTTGTTCTCTCCATCAGATTCCTGTGAACTGGAACTGGACACAAACACAGTTAACAGAAAGCTCAAACTGTCTGAGAACAACAGGACGGTGACACTGTTGACAGAGAAAGACCAGCCTTATCCTGATCATCCAGACAGATTTGACCGCTGCTGGCAGCTGCTGTGTAGAACTGGTCTGACTGGTCGCTGTTACTGGGAGGTCGAGTGGAGAGGAGCGGTTGATACGGCAGTGACTTACAGAGGAATAAGAAGGAGCGGAGACAGTGCTGCCTGCAGGTTTGGCGGGAATGATCAGTCCTGGAGTCTGAGCTGCTCTGCCAGAGGTTACTCTGTCAGGCACAATAACAAGGAAACATCAGTCCATCTCTCCTCCTCCTCCTCCTCTAACAGAGTAGCAGTGTATGTGGACTGTCCTGCTGGCTCTCTGTCCTTCTACAGAGTCTCCTCTGACTCACTGATCCACCTCCACACCTTCAACACCACCTTCACTGAGCCTCTGTATCCTGGGTTTGGTTTGGGGTTTGGTTTGGGGGTGGAGTCTTTGATGTTGTCACTAGACTCCTCAGTGTCTCTGTGTTCACTGTAGGGAGGAGAGTCTCCCTGTGTCGGGAAACAGTCACACTGCTGACTGGAGCAGCCCTGTCTCATTTTGATCACATGTATATCCTTCTAATTTGCAAAAGGCTGTCAGAGGAAATGTCACCTGTGTAACATTTTATTTTAATTAAGATAATGAGGAAATGTTTTATATTTTTATTTTTATATTTTTGTGGTAATTAATGGTTCTAGAAAGTAAAGTCAAATGTCACAGATATCTGTTGTCTGGCATTCGACACATGCGTATTTCCCGATCCACAATTTCCAGTTGGAGGTAGTAATGCACCGCAATGTTGTTTGTTGACCGCTATAAAACTCAAGTAGAAGAAGAGTACAAGAAGAAGACACAAAGAGAATAGAGAAAGAAGAATAATGTAATAAATGTTGGTAATGCTTGATCTCCTCGAACAACCTCTCTTCAAAACAAGAATCCATTTTGTTAACTGGACCACGTGCACTTGGCAGTTTTGCTATGTGTACAGTCCCTGTGGGTCTGGGTATCATCAGGTAATCTGTAATTCATTTTTAATTTGAAAATGAAAAAAAAATATACCATAATATCCAATATCAAAAAACCACTAACCCTAACCAATGAAAATGGTCCATTTTTGGCAATTCCTTTCATCATTATTTTGTTTGAAACCAAAAACCAAATTCATTTGGTTTTATTTGATTTTTAATTCTAAACCAAAAACAAAATCACATGGTCTATTTGTTTTTTGTTTCCAAACAAAAAGCGAGAAAATCTCATTCATAAACAGTCCAATTTTGTTTTTTGCAAATTCATTTTTTCATTTCTTATTTGGCTGAGACAGTAGAAGATGAGACAGAGAGGAAAAGGAAGTGAGGTGTCAAAAATAAAAAGTCAAAACAAAAGCCAAGAGGACATAAAAGTGTTACATTAAGCAAACACGGGATCTATACCAGGGTAATGGTTGAAAATAGGCAGATGAATAAATGAATGAATAATTAGTATATAAATGGAATTTCTAGGAGACAGGGTTGGACTGGAGACAAAGACACATGCAAGAACAACTGATTGCCTGTCAGTGAATCACACATGAAAATATCAGCCTGATGTAAATAACCCTCAACATCATCAGAAAACACTGATAAATCTGACCTTGTCTCCAAATAACAGATGACAGCTGATTAGCAGATGCTAATCATGTGTTTAAAATGTTCATGATTGGTTTATATTTGGATTACTGTTTCATTTATCTCTTTAACACTCAGTAATCTGCTGTATATTTTGGCAGAGTTCTCTAGTTGAAAATGACAATGGCCCAGAAGATGAGTGTCTAATGTACCGATTCGTATATTATATGTTTATAATAATGTTCCTTTAGTGCTAGGAATCAATGAAAGTTGTACAAAGTAAAACTCACTTCAGTCTCATTAAATCTATGATTATTTCACATTTTATTCTGTGTTTATGATCTCAAACTGCTTTCAGATCAGTTAAACGCCCATTGACATCAACATGATGAAAGCTGTTGGCTACTTTACTTTGGTGAAATAATCTGCATGAAGCTGATGACTGACGGTGAAATTAAACGGCGACTTCAACCAGGAAACTGACCAGAAACAGAACAAACATGTAACTGACAGCAGGAGGTTTTCAAAGGTCTGTTGATCCACACAGTCTCAGCTCTTCATCTTCAACTGAAGATTTCTTCAGGGAAACCTGATCACAGAGCAGCTCTGACCTTTGGAATGAACTGAAGTCAATCATTAACAGACAATAAAAGTCCTAATCTGATGGATCATGAAGCTCCAGTGATGCAGTTTTATCTTCAGTGAATTTTATTTTCCAACAAATAAAAATAGTTGTTGGTTGTTCTGTTGTACCTCTGTGATGTGAAGTGAAACACTGGACGAATAAATTGTCCTCTCGGTCTTCATTTTATTAAACATTATTATTACGTTACATCTGTGTCTGTGTTCTCATTCACACTTATGTTTGTCTACAGTGTGGTTGTGTATATTGTGTATGAATACAGTTTAGTTGACAGTGTACATGACGACAGTGTGGTTGTCTACAGTCTACAAGACCAAGGAGATGCTAATGGACTTCAGATGTGCACCTGGACAGTAAACTGGACTGGTCCCTGAACACAGATGCCATCTACCTGAAGGGGCGGAGCCCGCTCTTTTTCCTCAGGAGGCTCAGGTCCTTTGACGTCTGCAGTGAAATGCTGCACGTTTTATCAGTCAGTGGTGGCCAGTGGACTCTTTAATGCTGCAGTCTGCTGGGGCAGCAGCATGTCAGACACAAACACAAAGAGACTGGACAAGCTGGTCCAAAAGGCTGGGTCTGTGCTGCAGGAGTCTGGACTCACTCAGGACTGTTGTGGAGAGATGTATGCAATGTAAGATGGAGGCCATCTTGGACAATACCAACATCCTCTCCACAACATTCTGGCAGGACAGAGAAGCAGCTACAGCTGCAGTAAACATCTCATCTCACTGCAGAACAGAGAGGTTCAGGAGATCCTTTGTTCCCACTGCCATCAGGCTCACCTGATGGCAGTGGGAACCTCAGCCAGAGGAAGTGGACTGATCTAATTAGTATGATTTATTTATTATCAACACCATCCGTTGTTTATATTCTGGTGTGTGGTAGATGGTCACTTGATCTGACTTGATGAATAATAGGACACAATTGGCTTTGTAAGCCTCCTTGAATGGAGAAGAACAGTCCAGAGTTCTAACACCTCTGGTGAGACACATAATGTGCTGAGGGTTCGTTCAGAGGAAATCTTTGAACCATGGTAAAACCCCAAGTCAAGATGAGGGAGGCATCCAGGACTGGTTCAGGACCAGCATCAGCATCTGCCTGAGGTGGTACACACACGGCAGAGGTGACAACTAAAGTGAACTCCTGGGGAAAGCAGAGTGGATGGTGTGAGGTTGTCAGACAGTCAAAGCCAGGTGAGCAGGATAGAGTGTCTCTGGGATTACACCAGTTGTGAGACAGACTCCTCCTCTTTTGGACCTGCTGGACTCCTCTGCTCTGAACACAGAAAACAAAAGGACTACGATGGTTGGACGGCTCGCTCTGGCACCTGGAGGCTCTTAGTCAGTCAGGATGTTGCAGATGTGCATATCACACAGTTATTCCCCAAAAACATTAAAAGCTACAAGATGCTGCTCAATGAAAATTTTATTAAAGTGAGTATAAAATTCATCACAGTGTGTACACAAGTTCAGCACAGAATTAATTTTTACTTCCTCTAAGACATGAAACCTCATCCACCACCAACATTTAAACCACAGGACTGAAGCTGCTGTCACTTCCAGACTCTCCCTCCTACACTCAACACAGATACACTGAGGAACGAGATAAGAAAAACACAAACCCAAAACCAGGATACAGAGGTTCAGTGAAGGTGGTGTTGAAGGTGTGGAGGTGGATCAGTGAGTCAGAGGAGACTCTGTAAAAGGACAGAGAGCCAGCAGGACAGTCCACATACACTGCTACTCTGTCAGAGACAGAGGAGGAGGAGATGGATGTTTTCCTCTTATTGTGCCAGGCAGAGTAACCACCATCATCAGAGCAGCTCAGACTCCAGGACTGATCATTTCTTCCAAACACACAGTCTTCACTGTTTCCGTTCCTTCTGATTCCTCTGTAACTCACTGATATATGAATGTCTCCTCTCCACTCGACCTCCCAGTAACAGCGACCAGTCAGACCAGTTCTACACAGCAACTGAGGCCAAAGGTCAAACCTGTCTGGATGATCAGGATATGATTGATACTCTGTCACCCATGTCACCTTCCTGTTGTTGTCAGACAGTTTGAGGTTTCTGTTCACTGTGTTTGTGTCCAGTTCCAGTTCACAGGAATCTGATGGAGAGAACAAGACACATCAATAAACACATGTAATGTAGCTTTCTAAAACTGTTATTACCTCCACCAAAATGCTCACATTCAGCACAAACTTCACACCTTTGACTTCAAATGTCAAACTGTCGTCTAAAAAAAAACGGTTTCACAACAGTCTGTTTTGGTCATACAGCTCCAAAAAATTTGAAGTTCAGTCAAGGCGTTATTGAGATGTCATGTCCATGACAATGGGACGGACAGACGTACGTACGGACAACCTGAAAACAATATGCCTCCAGCTCTTGCAAGGGCAGAGGAACAAAAATAAAAGCTGCATACTGAATGTAACTCTGGAGAAATACATCTTCGTACAAATCTAGTGTAATATGTGCAGCTGTGTTCTCATGAATCATACTGAAAACACACTCACACTTCCTCACACCAGGTCTCAGTCTCTCCAGTCCACCATGATCCAACCTGGAGGAGGAAACAGAGTCAGAATCAACTTCATCCACCTTCAGTCATATCCACCATGAAACATAAAGTAGAACTCCTCAGTTAGAGAGGCAGCGAAACAGTGTGAGAGCTGCTATTGTCTGTCCATCTGTCCATACCTGAGAGTGTCCAGTCTCCAGTGTGGATCCTCCAGTTCAGCAAACAGCAGCTTCACTCCTGAGTCTCCTGGATGATTGAAGCTCAGGTCCAGCTCTCTCAGATAGGAGGGGTTGGAGCTCAGAGCTGAGACCAGAGACGCACAACCTTCTTCTGTGACCAGACATCCTGACAGACTGAACACATTGCACTGCCTTAAATTCACTTCTTGAAGACCTACTCCAATCCTGAACCATGTTGACTTGTTTTTTGTGTCCAAACGGAGGTTGAGTCGCTAAGGTACGACTCCTATAAAAGTTGTTATGTCTCAATAACATGAGTAATGCAAGTACATACCCACAAACCCAACCTCACTGTCAGTGTAAACTCTCAATTTAAAACTAGCTAACTTAGGAAAATTCCTCAGTACAGTGTCGTCGTCGTCGTCGTCTCCCGCTCATCTGGATCCGGTTCGCGGGGGCAGCAGCCTCAGCAAAGAGGTCCAGACGGCCCTCTCCCTAGCCACTTCCACCAGCTCTTCCGGGAGAATCCCGAGGCGTTCCAAGGCCAGCCGAGAGATATAATCCCTCCAGCGTGGAGCCTTCCGGCTTAGCTCCCTCTTCCCCACAACGGACCGATTCAGCACCCGCATCACTGCTGACACCACCCCAATCTGCCAGTCGATCTCCCGTTCCATCCTACCCTCACTCGTGAACAGGATCCCGAGATACTTAAACTCATCCACCTGAGGCAGGACCTCCCCCCTGACCCGGAGTGGGCAATCCACCCGTTTCCGGCTGAGAACCATGGCCTCAGACTTGGAGGTGCTTATCTTCATCCCAGCGCTTCACACTCGGCTGCGAACCGCCCCAGCGAGAGCTGAAGGTCGGTGCTCGATGAAGCTAAGAGGACCACATCATCCGCAAAAAGCAGAGACGAGATCCTCCCGCCACCGAACCCAAACCCCTCCACCACCCGGCTGCGCCTAGAAATTCTGTCCATAAAAGTTATGAACAGAACCGGTGACAAAGGGCAGCCCTGACGGAGTCCAACCCTCACCGAGAACAGGTCCGACTTACTGCCGGCTACGCGAACCAGACTCACACTCTTTTGGTACAGGGACTTGATGGCCGCTAACAAGGGGCCATCCAACCCATACTCCCGGAGCACCCCCCACAGGGAGCCCCTGGGGACACGGTCGTAAGCCTTCTCCAAATCCACAAAACACATGTGGACTGGATTGGCAAACTCCCATGCCCCCTCCAGCACCCTAGCAAGGGTAAAGAGCTGGTCCACAGTTCCACGTTCAGGACGAAAACCACATTGCTCCTCCTCGATCTGAGGTTTGACTACCGACCGGACCCTCTTTTCCAGTACCCTGGCATAGACCTTACCGGGGAGCCAGACGAAGAATGGTTCAGAAGATCCCAATGAGTAAAACGATCAAGAACTTGTGTACCCAGCCCGGAGGGATACCGGGGCCCCGCCCTGGAGCCAGGCCTGGGGTTGGGGCCCGTGGGCGAGCGCCTGGTGGCCGGGCCTTAGCCCATGGGGCCCGGCCGGGCCCAGCCCGAACCGGCTACATGGGTTCGTCTCCCAGTGGGCCCACCACCTGCAGGAAGAGTCAGCGGGGTCCAGTGCAATGTGGATTGGGCAACAGACCAAGGCGGGGGCCTTGGCAGTCCGATCCTCGGTTACGGAAACTGGCTTTTGGAACATGGAACATCACCTCTCTGGCGGGGAAGGAGCGGGAGCTTGTGGAAGAGGTGGAACGGTACCGGCTAGATATAGTCAGCCTCACCTCAACACACAGCGTCGGCTCTGGAACCCAAGTCCTTGAGAGGGGCTGGTCTCTCCTCTTTGCTGGAGTTGCTCCGGGGGAGAGGCGGAGGGCCGGGGTGGGCTTTTTGGTGGCCCCCAGGCTCTCTGCTTGTATGTTGGGGTTCACCCCGGTGGACGAAAGGGTTGCGTCCCTGCGCCTCCGGGTCGGGGATCGGGTTCTGACTGTTGTCGGTGCTTATGCGCCGAACAGCAGTTCAGACTACCCACCCTTTTTGGAGTCCTTGGGACGGGTGCTGGAAAGTGCCAGGAAAGGGGACTCCATTGTCCTATTGGGAGACTTCAACACTCACGTGGACAATGACAGCATGACCTGGAGGGGTGTGGTGGGGAGGAACGGCCTGCCTGATCTGAACCCGAGTGTTGTTCAGTTATTGGACTTCTGTGCTAGTCACAGTTTGGCCATAACTAACACCATGTTCAAACATAAGGATGTCCACAGGTGCACATGGCACCAGGACACCCTAGGTCGCCGGCCTATGATCGACTTTGTAGTCGTATCATCAGACCTGTGGCCGTATGTTTTGGACACTCGGGTGAAGAGAGGAGCAGAGTTGTCAACTGACCACCACCTGGTGATGAGTTGGATCAGATGGCGGGGGAAGACGCCGCGCAGACCTGGCAGGCCCAAACAGGTTGTGAGGGTCAGCTCCTCAATCCCACCAAAACGTATTCCGTGGAGGAAACAGAGTCAAGAGACCTGGGGATGGATGATCTAATCTCCAGGGCAGAAGTCGCTGAGGTAGTGAAACAACTGCGCGGTGGCAGAGCCCCGGGGGTTGATGAGATCCGCCCTGGGTATCTCAAGGCTCTGGATGTTGTAGGACTGTCTTGGTTGACATGCCTCTGCAACATTGCGTGGATATCGGGGGCAGTGCCTCTGGAGTGCCAAACCGGGGTGGTGGTCCCCATCTTTAAGAAGGGTGACCAGAGGGTGTGTTCCAACTATCGGGGAATTACACTCCTCAGCCTCCCCGGTAAGGTCTATGCCAGTACAATGTTAATACTTCAATTGATACAAGATCATATAAACAAATAAGAAGCCTCTATGTTTAATTCTACTGTTTAAAAACAACTGTATTCTGACCCGAGAGTTTCCACTCTGCATTGTTGTCTCTCCAGTCCAGCAGACAGAAGCTTCACTCCTGAATCCTGCAGGTTGTTGTCACTCAGGTCCAGGTCTCTCAGGGTAGAGGACTGGGAGCTGAGGACTGAGGACAGAGCTTCACAGCTTCTCTCTGAAAGGTTACAGCCACTCAGTCTGAAGAGGAAATCCAAACAAAAACATTCAAAAACTGAATACTTTAAGTCATTATAGGCTTATGTCTTGCATACAAAAGCTTTAAACACTAACCTGAGACTTTCCAGTGTACAGTGTGGACTCTCCAGTGTAGCAGACAGCAGCTTCACTCCTGAATCCTGCAGGTTGTTGTTACTCAGGTCCAGGTGTTTCAGACTAGAGGACAGGGAGCTGAGGACTGAGGACAGAGCTTCACAGCTTCTCTCTGAGAGTTTACAGCCACTGAGTCTGAAGAGGAATCAGCAGAACAAAAGAAAACAAGTATAAAAATTTGTTTTTTTCCGTGACTAAAGAAGAAGATAAAGGAAATGTAGATGGATATATGTTCACATACACAGCTTTCTTTGAAGCTTTGACCACTGGTAGCAGCTTCAGAAGAGCCTCCTCTGAAGCAGAGTATTTCTTCAGGTCAAATACGTCGAGATCTTCTTCTGAGGACAGTAAGATGAAGACCAGAGCTGACCATTGAGCAGGAGACAGTTTATCTGTGGAGAGACTTCCTGATCTCAGGGACTGTTGGATCTGCTCCACCAGACAATGAGCGTTCAGTTCATTCAGACAGTGGAACAGGTTGATGCTTTTCTCTGGAGACAGATTCTTATTTATCTTCTTCTTGATGTACTGGACTGTTTCCTGATTGGTCTCTGAGCCACTTCCTGTCTGTGTCATCAGGCCTCGTAGGAGCGTCTGATTGGTCTGCAGTGAAAGACCCAGGAGGAAGCGGAGGAACAAGTCCAGGTGTCCATTTGGACTCTGTAAGGCCTCGTCCACAGCTGTCTGGTAGAGTTGTGCTGGTTCAGGTTTTTCTGTAAAGAATTTAGATAACCAGGAGGTTGATTGTTTATCTGACATCAGGTTGAGTCCAGAGTTGATGAAGGTCAGATGGACATGGAGAGCAGCCAGAAACTCCTGAACACTCAGATGGATGAAGCAGAACACCTTGTCCTGGTACAGGCCTCTCTCCTCTTTAAAGATCTGTGTGAACACTCCTGAGTACACTGAGGCTGCTCTGATATCGATGCCACACTCTGTCAGGTCTGATTCATAGAAGATCAGGTTTCCTTTCTGCAGCTGCTCAAAAGCCAGTTTTCCCAGAGACTCAATCATCTTCCTGCTCTCTGGACTCCAGTGTGGATCTGTCTCAGATCCTCCATCATACTTGACGTTCTTCAGTTTTAGTTGAACCACTAGGAAGTGGATGTACATCTCAGTCAGGGTCTTGGGCAGCTCTCCTCCCTCTCTGGTTTTCAACACCTCCTCCAGAACTGTAGCAGTGATCCAGCAGAAGACTGGGATGTGGCACATGATGTGGAGGCTTCGTGATGTCTTGATGTGGGAGATGATCCTGCTGGCCTGCTCCTCATCTCTGAACCTCTTCCTGAAGTACTCCTCCTTCTGTGGGTCAGTGAACCCTCTGACCTCTGTCACCACGTCAACACACTCAGGAGGGATCTGATTGGCTGCTGCAGGTCGTGTGGTTATCCAGAGGCGAGCAGAGGGAAGCAGTTTCCCCCTGATGAGGTTTGTCAGCAGCACGTCCACTGAGGTGGACTCTGTAACATCAGTCAGGATCTCAGTGTTGTGGAAGTCCAGAGGAAGTCGACACTCATCCAGACCGTCAAAGATGAACACGACCTGGAACTGATCAAACCTGCAGATTCCTGCTTCTTTGGTTTCAGTAAAGAAGTGATGAACAAGTTCCACCAAGCTGAACTTTCTCTCTTTCAGCACATTCAGCTCTCTGAAGGTGAATGGAAATGTGAACTGTATGTCCTGGTTGTCTTTGTCTTCAGCCCAGTCCAGAGTGAACTTCTGTGTTAAGACTGTTTTCCCAATGCCAGCCACTCCCTTTGTCATCACTGTTCTGATTGGTCCGTCTCTTCCAGGTGAGGCTTTAAAGATGTCTTCTTGTCTGATGGTTGTTTCTGGTCTGACTGGTTTCCTGGATGCTGTTTCAATCTGTCTGACCTCATGTTCATCATTGACCTCTCCAGTCCCTCCCTCTGTGATGTAGAGCTCTGTGTAGATCTGGTTCAGAAGGGTTGGGTTTCCTGCTTTAGCGATCCCCTCAAACACACACTGGAACTTCTTCTTCAGGTTAGATTTGAGTTGTTGTCGACAAACTGCAGCAAAATGTCCTGAATGAAGAAACAACAAATAAGATCAATGAATAAAAAGTCAACATTTCATCAGTTCTTCCCTCTAAAGAATGAGTATATGAACATGTTTCCCTCCATGTGTTGATGTTAGTAAATGTCTGATTTCTCCATCATGTTAAATCCTCTTACTGCTCTGCAGACAGTCAGCCAGATCCTCCTGCTTCATTCTCCTCAGGAAGTTCACTGTGATCTTCACAAACGTCTCTCTGCTCCTCCTCTGCTCTTCATCCTCAGCGTCCAACACCTCCTCCTCCTCCCTCTGACTCTCTGAGGATTCTGGGTAATTTCGTCTCAGGACCTTCTGGACTCTCTTCAGCTCGCTCTTCACAAAACTGATGATGTTCTCCTCCAGCAGCTGGAACAGATGATGAAGTGAACATTTGATTGAAAGCGGTAGAACACAACATGTGACTCATGTGTCAGTCTGAAGGCCTGCAGGTCTAAACACAGCAACATGGACACTGTTAGGACCTGAACGGTAGTTCAGTATTCAAACCCAAGTATGTAACTTCTGCCTCTAGAAGTCTCTCAATCAAAACAATTAGAAAAGACAGCATTGGGTGACATCATGAAATAGTGCGAGATTCAGTGTCAGTGGTTTAGGTGATTCTAACCATTAAAAATACTGAATAAAGCAGTTTTACATTCAAAGTCAGTGTTGGATCGATGCTGTACGGAGAACAGAGATGTCAGGGAAGAGTTGGGAGCTGACATCGCTGCTAACCTTTATTGATTTTTTTCTGATAATCTATGAACCAGACATTCAACAGATTTTTACCAGGAGCCAAAGTCTCCACAGAGGTGCCTTCCTCCTCACAACAAACGGACCAGGGGATTAAATGCGGTAAACGAATAAAGCTGTTTCACTCAAAAACGAACAGTGATTTGCCAACGTGCTTTGGCAGAAAAGGGACAGGAAATCTCCAGCGGCTGGGAGCTCAGCTGCCTGACCTTTGCCTGACTTTTTTGTCCGACAACTAAAATCCTTCATCTGGTTAAAATATATATTTGAAAATGCCCAAGGTGTAAAAAGTTTATGTGGCTTAAAACTATGAAATAGGTCTAGTAATTTTTAGACATTTTAATGTGGAAAAGTTACTGATTATAACTTTAATCTGTGGTTGATGGAGTTAAACAGTAACAGTGCGATTGTACATGTACAGACCATAAAGATGGAGTCCAGGTCTGGTTGATGCTGCTGGGCAGACTGATCACTGTGGACCTCTGAGCTCTGCTGCTCAACTCTGTGGAGAAAACACCAACTTTATCCTTTGTGCATGCTTTTCAAAAATGTACACAGGTCCTTCAAAGACAAAAATGTCAGCATAAAAAAAGAAAAAAAAGATTTTATATATTATGTTATGTATTTATAATTTCCCATTGTCAGTTAATTAATTAATGGTTGTTTTTTGGATATTAACCCTTTAAATGCCAATTTGCTTACATAAAATTACTGATGTTTTTCATGAAAAAACAAACACATGAATTATTTTCTTTGTTAGGTTGATTTTTTCCCCCTGCATCATCATAGTCTGGGATATGTCAATGATTATTAACAACATTGATTGAGATTTTAACCAACATCATTCCTGATCATAATTATTAAATATTCAATCATTTTCAGGATTCTAGCCCTTTAAATCAGTTTGTTTACATAATACTACCGTTGTTTTTTATTAATAATTTTCCATACACTAAATGCTAATGGGAGATTATTTGTTTGGATTATCATCAAAAACTATGGCATGAAAACCATTTGATCTTGGTTTATATGGACATGTAATCACATACACTTACATGTAGACATAATATTACACCCTGTGAAGCCCCACCACACACAAACCTTCAAAACTCAATAGCCACTGTAACTCATATACAGACATGTTCTTCACTTCTAAGTTTTAATATTACATAAACTATTGAGTTTCAAGGCCTTCAAGAAAGAGACAGGGAGGGAGACAAGCGGTTTTAAAATCCAGTTCAATTTTAAATTGCTACCTTCCATCAGCAGAATGTCCAACTTTAAGGGTTAAAAATCGCTGTATACTCTTCATGGACACACAGCTGGGTTCAGGAGAGTCTGGTCTCTGCTTCTGCATCCTGATACAAACATACAAGTGATGAATGAAAAGAAGTTTTAACCTGAAAACATGAATTTTAATGAATTTTAAGAAAATTTGAGGATCTGATAGAAAATCAGTTAAGACAGAGGATGAGTTTGGGACATGGAAAATGCCTCATTAAAAACAAATTAAAGTAAAAACCTATCGTACACATTGTTGTATTTCTTTCCTTTACACTTATGTTACCTTACTCTTATGTTTCATAATTCAATTTTAAATAATTATTTGGTTTTTAACTGAATATGTGAATGTCTTGTTTTCTCTGTGCTATTAGAAATGAATCAGAGAACAGAAGACAAAGAGAGGAGGTGTGTTACATCTCAGTATATTCCAGCTGAGGGTAGTATAGATGTGACATGAAAATGTAGTATATCATACCCCTAAACTACTCATCCTGCTCTCTGCTGAACTGTTAATGTTGGAGCTAATGCTGTGCATCTTTGACACTTTAACTCCTCATCATTCATGCAGCCTGATGAAGACAGATAGAAAAGTAGAGAGCAGAGGAAGAACAACAGATGGTTATTCTATGTGGACATGACCGATCCAACCTTTCAACCACAGATGGTCTTCAGGTAAAAGTGAAGAAGTGAACACACCTGTATTTAATAGACGATTCATGATGAGATGTCACCACATTATTTCATTATGAGCCGACATATGAGTCATCTGATATGACATTTTCTTCAATAGTGTGGGACTTTAGGCCTCATCTTCTTCTTTGGTTACAGATATTTTGACAAACATACTCCCTATAATATGTTAGAATGACACCAGTTATAAATGTGTATCATCCTGTTGAGTGTTACACTGTTGTATGATTTGCTTTCTTCAGGTGAATGATGTGGATCTCAATAGGCTCCCTTCATGAGAAGGGAGAAGGACTCTGTAACATGTAGACACTAATTTCTTTGTGACATAAAAGATACCTGGTGTGATGATTATTTCCACATCATAATATAATAAGTCAATCAGCTGACTGATCAGCTGTTGGCTCTTTGTTCACTGAGACAGTTAGTAGTTGGTTATTAGTTCTTTGAGCTGTTATTGAGTAGTTGATGGCAGATGTGACAGTGAGTGTGAATAATTATGGAGCAGTGATGTGAGTCATGGACAGTTAGAGATCCTCATCTCACCTCTGAGCTCTGGTCTTTCTCTCATGTTCCCCACACAGAGTGGTTTTAGAGGGAGGGGCTCCCTCCTCTCTGTCCTCACACTGATCCATGGCAGAGCCCCCACCTTCACACCAACACAACAACCTGCTTCATTACAACAGGGTTTACATCACAGGAAACATTAGTTCTCATTACTGTCACTAACATGAAACAAACTCTGGACTAATACCTGGAATATCAACAGTCAGTTGATCCAAGCTGTCCGACCAGTTCTGACTCTCTCTACATATTTCACTAATGATCTGAACTCAATCAAACTGCTGTTGATTCTTCCTGTGAGCACCAACAATAATACATACAAGTCTTTGTCCTTTAACTCAGATAGAAATTACTGACAATATTTACACCTGAAAGCATCAAATATTTGAACCAGCCAATCAGCTTCCAGAAACAACAAACTCAAGGTGAGCACAGTGATCCTGTTCATCAGACATTTACAGATTTCTCTGGAGGATTCTCACCTGCTGAACTCACTTCAGGTCGACTTACAGACACTTTCCACCTTCATTTATAAATGCAAAATGCAAATAAAGTTGTGACAAAAACTCAAGAGAGAAACCCAAAGATTTGTTGACATTTTCAACATGTCTCGGGGTCCTGATTGCTGCACAGCCACTTAGTAACCAGTCAACTAATTAACAATAAATGCTTTTATAGATCAGTCAAATCATTGTGTTGTTAAAGTGCTGTTTTAAATTAAGTGCTTTATTCATGGTTCTGTTGATATAAATAACAACTGTGTCTGATCACTAATCAGAGTTAACAGAGCCAGTTGATAACCAGCTTCAGGATACAGTTATCCAGGATCACCAATGATCAGTGAAGCAGGAAACCCCAAAGAAGCCAAACTAAGTTGAACTCACCTGAGAAGCAGGACTCGTGTTGTTTGAAACACTATGAATAGTAACAGTTAATTAAATGCACCTCACCCAAGTTGATCAGATGTCAGACCAGTTCTGTCACATTGATGTGAGCTCAGTTTACAATTGAACTGTAGTTGTTTCTCAGAAACACTGCATGTAAAACATCACTGAGTTAACTCAGTCAGTCTTACCGTAGATTAGAACAATGGACAGAGTAAACACACTGTTCGGTAACAGTTTTGGAGGTCCAGAAGTCTAGTCTCTAAAAAGCTGATATAACTGCATGTTTTTACAGTGCAGCTGCAGTAATAGATGTACATCATTGACAATTAACTCTGATAGAAATTCTTCAAAATATTTAAGCTTAACAGCATTAGATAGATACTTTGAACCAGCCAATCACGATCAAGAAACATTTCTACTGTCCAGTCAAACAGTGACACAACACAGTGATCCTGTTCATCAGACATTTACAGATTTCTCTGTAGGATTCTCACCTGCTGAACTCACTTCAGGTCGACTTACAGACACTTTCCACCTTCATGTGTCGAGGAAACATCTGGAGAGAAGAAGCTGCTCATTCTCCCTCGTCAGTCCTGGTGTCTGTGAGCATTTGATCTGAGGACGAGTCACTTCCTCATAACTTCAGAGTCCAAGTCTGAAAAACATCAGAGTGACGTCAGAACCAGTCTGACCTGTGACAGAAACCCAGTCAGTGTCAGAGACGTCACACATCACATGGTGTAGTTCTACTATCTGTCCACTAGATGGAGCTAACGGATCATCTAATGAGCTAAACATTAGCTCAGCACAGAAAGATGTGATGGAGGAGCAGCAGTCTGGATCTCAGACATACAGCACTATATTGTGAACATGTTGGTTTGTTATGAGGCAGAGTGCAGCCTCAGATTCTCCCTGTTCCTCAGTCCTGGTTCCTAACAAAGGGGGACCAGAACCTCCAGAACCTCAGGATGATGTCTGATTTTAAAACTTTTCTTCAAACACTGTCATAAACACTTTTTGACTGAATTTGTTTTAAATCTGTTAAACAGTTAAAGATGATCTTATTTCTTTCAATAGTGCTTCTACAAAAATTCTTCTAGTATAAAAAAACAAAAAAACAAACTACTAGGACTGGTAACTTTCTAAAGGCCAAAGTGTGGAGAAAGGTTGGTGATGTCAGTGGATCGCAGACTTGATGCAGTTATCTCAAGCAACAGTTATACAGCCAAATATTAAATGTTATTTTCTTTTCACACCAGAAATGAGGCAGTCTGATGGGTCGTATTCAAGCCCAGGATGCTGTGGTTAGGACTAAAAGCCTTTACATTATGTGCTCTACCAGGTGAGCCACCGTGGCGCCCACAGAAAGGGCAGATCTACCGGCGCTCTTCACTGGATCTTCTCACTCAGTAAAAGACCTGACATGAAGAAACACACAGGATTATAAGCTCTGTTCTGCTTTCCTTTATATTTCATCGGTTTCTCTAATGTTGTACAGCATCATATGAGATCATAACAACATCAAAAACAGTGAGGACTGAATCCTTGCTCTCTAGTTCAACTTCCAAACATAGCATATATTGATAAAGAACAAATATACATGCAATTAGTATCAAGCTGTCCCAACTTAACTTATATTCAGATAAACAATAAAACGTGTTACACATTAAACACATTACCTACTAACTTCTCTTTCTCACTGACAGTGAAACTGTATTTTTCTATAGAAAACAGAACCTACTTCAGCACATCAGTAAACTTAATTTTTCTAAATGTTCTGGGTAACATTAAAACTAAATTCTGTAGTTCACCATTTCTTATCAAAAACACTGCTGACAAATCATTAATCATCTCTAGCATCATGAAGAGTCAGTGATTCAAAACACCACGTTTTATTTCTCTTTCAGTAACATGGTGAATATTACTATGAAACTTACATTTTAAGCTTCAATACGTTTCTCTTTACACCCTTGATATTCACAACAGTAAACTGCTGGAAACAACTCAACATGGAGATAACATTGTTGCTAACAGAACAGAACTAGCAAAAAGAACCGAGAAGAAAGCTTACCGAGGAACGTGACAGGACTTTACCGTAGTAATGGCGAAGTGAAGCTTTCAACACAGTTGTATCGAAAAAACGGTTCATTACTTGAAGCTTTTCAAATCAGATCTCAATGGAGACATCTGCTGGTCAATGTGAGGAAAAGCGATGATGCAAAACACAACCAACCAACACATGAATCTCCTTGAAACAAAAATGAATGAATTGATAAATGAATACGTGAATTAATGAATTAATAAATAAATTGATACATGAATAGATAAACCTCCACTGCATACTCTAAATAACGGAACAACAACAATACAGATAACATATTGCATTGTGGATTTGTAAACATTAGTAAAACTCATGAATTGGGGAAGTAATATGAGAGGGCGGGAGAAAAGGGATAACAAGTATTATGGAGTTGGACTCGAACCGATTCGAACCCAGAACACTCCCATTAGGAGCTTGACTGAAAGGTACACACTCTACCAGGTGAGCCACCAGAAACCACAGCAGGTGCCACGTCAGATCTCCTGACACACCACAGTGTAGCAAACCACTTCAACAACCCACTAAGAGTCGCATTTCGCGCATTTTTTAAACCCCTTGAATCAGATTTCAAAGCAGTCACGTGGAGTGACGTGGGTGTAGGTGTGAAACGAAGCGTCTGACATCATTGGTCACGTGATTTCGATAGAACGAATCAAGCTTCGATACAAAGCTTCGCTAAAAATAGATTATTTTCTTTTTTTTTAGACACAGGCCGCGGAGCTTCTGTGTCACAGGTAACATCACTATGATTGGTCCTCTAGAGTTAGCTAGCTAGGTATCTCTCTTTCAAATTACCTAGCTAGGTACCTAGCTAGGTAGCAGTTAGCAGTGTAGCTGTGATCCTGCAGCGCGGTGTTTTTGAACTTTAGGCTGTTGGTCAGTCAATAAACTGAGTGCAGGAGTCAGTTTCCTGGTGTGTGTCATTAAAGTTAATGATGAACAGTGTGACTTTGAGTGATATGTGGTCACCTCTGTGTATTACTACAGCATTATGCCCCCCCCCCAAACAAACAGCCTGCGGTCTGTGACTGAGCAGCCGATGACCTTTGTGCTGCAGGACAGGACTGTCTGTCTGACCGTCTCTTCAGGCTTCAGCAGAACGAGCAGCTGCTTCGACTTTTCTCTTCACCTTTCACGTTGACAGACTCTCGAGTAAAACCTCATCATGGCGGAGAGGAGAACAGCGGTGAAGGCGGCAGAGGAGCCCGACTTCCTGCAGTGTAATGATCTGGCCTGTGAGACGGTCGGTGGGAGGGTGAGTGTCCGTGAGCTTATCATGCTGTAACTGTACTAAACAAATACTCCCAAAGACAGAACATCAGCTAAATACACTCACACATATGAATAAGGTCAACAACATGACCAAAGACATTTAATCCAGATGTGTGTCCTAAATGTAACATGTGGCCTGAAGATGAGTGCATGCGTTTTTCAGTTATTCTGATTTGTGTTCATATGACAATAACACAACAAGGCAGAGGCAGCAGACTTCCCTATCATGTGGCTTTTTATGATGAATCATAAATAAGCTGTCAGCACCACCTCTCTGTTAACACATCTGACATATTATCACCTTATAAAACTAAAACTGTGTTTTGGCATCTCAAAAACAGAGCTGGGGTCAGAGACCTTGTGTCTCACCAAGACTTAGAGAAACTCATTCTTGACTTTATGTCTTCCAGAGTCGAATGTTGCAACGCTGTCCTCTCTGGTTTATCAGATATGATTACTTCTGAAATAAAGCCCAATAGGTCTCTAAGATCTGCAGGAGCTGGTCAGTTAAAACTAAACTGCTGCCCCCTGCTGGAACCAGCTGGAACCAGCTGGAACCAGCTGGAACCAGCTCCCACTGGAGATCAAACCTGCCCAAACTGTCCTCTCCCTTCATCTAAACCTTAATCTTGCACTTTGATCTATTCATATTTTATAATCTGTGTTACATTCATACACAAATAATAATAATGACATTATAAAATGTAATATATAATTCTAATAATTTATGAATAAATACATTTAAAAATAAAACTTTTATCATTTTAATTTATTTTTGATCATTTTGAACTTTTTATAGACAAATGGTCCATCAAGAAAATAATCAGCAGATTAGTCCATAATGAAAATAATCATTAGTTCCAGTCCAATTCAAAACAGTCAAATTCTGCTTAAACATGAATACATCAGTAACATCAATAATCAATAATTAATATATAAAGTGTAACAGGGAGAATTTAACTTTTACTTTTGAAACTTTAAGAGCATTTTCCTGTTTCTGCTCCTGTTGTATATCTTTGTTTAGTAACTGAACACGTATTTATCCCAATTATTCCTTTAAAATATCGATTACTGCAGCTTTAACTTGAAAAGCGTTTCCTGTGTCGTCCACACATTGAGTTGATAATGAACTGTTTTTACAGAACAAACCTTTGTTGGTTTTCTATCATGTGTTTTCAGGTTATTTTTGCTACAGACGAGTGGTTTGCTCCGGCTGCCAACCTGCTGAAGGTACAATGATCGAGTTCAGGACAACAAACCTTTTATTTCCGCTGCACTTACCATCAACAGCTGAGTCATTGGTGATTTACAGTTATTTAACCCTAAAGACTAAGTGTGATGTTAAACCCATTGGTTCCCACTAAACATGTAAATCTGTAGTTTCTTTACTGCTCTTCACTAGTTTTTAACAACCAGGAGGAAATAGTGCCTTTGATGGGGACTATTTTCAGTGGCGGATTAATCTATCAGTCACCAGACTTATACTTTGACTGAAACGTCTGTACAGAGGGAGCCGCCACAGTTCGTCGCCTCTGCCTTCACTGAGTTTGGAAAGTGGATGGACGGATGGGAGACGAGGAGGAAGAGACGACCTGGTTAGTGTCTGAAACTCAAAGATGAACGTGTGTGAATGATGTCACAGTTTTGACCAAAGGTATCGTTTAAACTGTTTAAACCGGCTCCTCACTGGTGACAGTTTGAGACTTTTTACACAGTGAGAGAAACTTGTTCATGACTGAACTCTGTAATGAGTCACTGTCTGTAAATGACCTCAGATGTGTCTCTAACACCTTCACTGATCAGCTGATGTACAGTATGTGCAGGTGTAACGTGATAAAATAATACTGAGCAACTGTTTGTGTTCAGGCTCCACTTTCATCCTCTCATCAAAACTCCCTTAGACACAGTTTAATGGTTCATTAAGAGATGTAAGCTCCTTGATGTTAAAGGCTCAATCTGGAACTGCCATTTAAGGACAAGACTCTTTTTAAAAGGCTGACCTCAGAACAGCTGTTGAATCCTCGTGTGCGCACACACACACACACACACACACACACACTGTCAGTACCTGTTGGACTCCTCCTGCCTCTGTGTTGAAGGTCACGACTGGTGCATCATCCAGCTGGGAGTACCAGGGCTGATCTACGGCTTCGATGTGGACACGTCCTTCTTCACTGGAAACCACTCGCCCTACGTGTCCGTCCAGGCCGGCTGTCTGGGTACCAACTGCTGTCTCATACTCATTAGCTGTGTCTCAGTTCAGGGGCCGCATCCTTCTGAGGACGCGGTCTACTTGTTTGTTTGTTTGTTTGTTTGTTGACACTTGAAGAAGCAACACACACAAACGGTAACTGTTTCCTTTTTGTATGAACAGAAGAATGTGAACACTGGAACCAGACTCTGAACGACTTCCTGTTCTTCTCCAGACAAACCCCCGACCTTCACCCTGGAGGGAGACCGGACCGGCATGGCCGCCTCTGACAGTCAGCTGGCTGCTGTCGCCAAGGTAACCCTGCCATTTGTGTGATCACCAAGGTAACATTGAGAGTGGGCTGTCACCAGATTACTATTGACAACCAGCTGGTCACCGTGGTAACATGGATTTGACTGATTGACAGCTGGAATCGGAGGTGTGGCCTGAGCTGGTGGGTGTGTCTGAGCTGAGGCCTGGATACTCAGACTGCTGCCACAACTACTTCAAGGTCAACTTCAACCGCAGAGTCACACACCTGCGCCTCAACATGTACCCAGGTACACACACACACACACACACACACACACACACACACACACACACACACACACACTGTTGTATGATACGTTTCGAGTTGTTCAGGATGTGTGTGTCATCAGACGGAGGGATATCCAGACTGCGGGTGTATGGCGTCGGGCAGAGAGACTGGTTGTCTGTCTCCACCCACCAGGATGTTGACCTGGTGGCTCTGACCAATGGGGGAGTCTGCCTCGGCTACAGCGACGCCCACTTTGGGCATCCACGCAACATGATTGGTTGGAATCAGTGCAATTAATGTGCACATTAGCTTTTTATATTTACTGTTATTGTTGTTGTTAATGAGGTCTCATTTATCATCTCACTATGTGACATTATGTCGACTCAGCCACTCAGACTGTGACACTGGTGTGATGTCTTTGCAGGTCTGGGTCGAGCTGCCAACATGGCTGACGGGTGGGAAACAGCTCGTAGACTGGACAGACCCAAAAAACTGAAGGTTTATCGCACTCATACGAACCTTAAAGGGGTGGTTGTGGTCGTCATGTTCAGTCAGTGTATTTCCTGCAGTAGATTCAGTTCAGAGCAGCAGGAGGACCGGTACACTAGCAGAGTGATGACATCACTGCTGTGGGCGGGGCCAGCAGAACACTTTTTCAAGACGCCACTGAAACAATCCAACATCTGTTTAAATGAAGCTTCATGTAGAATATTTTCAGCTCTGCTGCAACCCCACGTCTCACAAACACAACTGTCACTTTAATTTCATAACAGCCTAATGAACCGAGTCGAACCTCAGTGAATGAACATGTGCCTGTGAACGCTCCTGTTACCTGTGCTCCTGCAGGTGGACCAGCGGGGGATCCTGCAGGTCCCTGGCTGGGAGTGGGCGGTGTTCCGTCTCGGTCACGCCGGAGTGATCAGCAGTGTCGAGGTCGACACCAACCACTTCAAAGGTGGAGGGATGCCTCAGCTGCCTCGTAGAAATTCTCTAATGCGACACTGAACTTGAACCTGATGTTGTTCCATCCAGGTAACTTCCCGGACTCCTGCAGGATCGAGGCGTGTACTTTGACCCCTGAGGAGGAGGCTCAGAGAGTCGGGACCGGGTGGAGGTCTTGGAAATGGCAGGTCCTCCTCCCCCCTCAGAAAGTGGGTTCATACGTTCAGTGAAATCCTTTTTCTTTGCTGCACAGACTCCTCACCGCCGTCTCCTCCTCTGCTGCAGCTTCATCCTCATCACAGGCATCTCTACAGGGAGGCGGAGCTGACGCTGACCCGACCTGTCAGTCACGTTCGTCTCGTCATCGCCCCTGACGGAGGAGTCAGCCGTCTGCGGCTGTGGGGTCGACCCACAGCGATCACTGCGGCTCCGACCAATCAGAATACGCCGGCGTCCAAACTCTGACGAACACAGAGTCTGATGAGTCTGATGAGTTTAGGAACACCTCAGTGTAAAAAATAAAACACAAAGTCACATGACAGTCTGATGGTCATCAATACTTCAGCATTACTAACACTGATATCACTGTTCAGCATCATATACACTCAAAAACATCAGGTTGTTGTGACATCATAGTTAGGTTTTGTTGCTAGGCGACATCTAGTGGTCGTAGTGATGATGAAAAGTGTGGGTGACGTAGTATAAGGAGACAAAGTCCACGTCAGGAGGAGGTGGTGGTGGATGGAGGAATGTGACAGGAGAGCCGTGTGTTCGATTCCCATGACCGCCAAGTTTGATGACGCTGAGTAAACCATTTCCTCAGGCTCTGATTGGTGCATCAGGAGTTCCCTCAACGCTGTTTCTCCTCATCACACTCATTTATTTAGATTTAAGGATATCGGCCGGGGGGGGGGGGTCTTCACCTTCTTCTGGAGAAAAATAAATCAAATAGTCATTGATTTGCAGCTGATTGATTTCCTTTAGTCTTCTCCTCTGTCAGTTCTCATCTGTCTGTGTCCTGCTGCTTGTTCTCTCTCTTCTTCACACCCAAGGTCGACTTTAATCAACCCCCCCACCCCACCCCCACTGACCTGAAGAAGTTAATTAGCCTGATCTTCATCAGAGATCCTGGAGGCTGCAGGTCAAACAGTGAAGATCTCATCATCACATCCAGGTCAACCTGCTGGTCCTGAACCAGTACCTGTGAGGTACTGGTTCAGGACCAGCAGGGTCCAGCAGCTCAGGCTGTGGTTGGATTGGGAGGCTTCAGATCAGAGCACCTCTCTTGTTCTCAGACCCTGACCCTCCTGAACACCTTTAAACCAGATTCGCTGTGACTTGTGGGTGTTTGTGTTTCTGATCATCGAGCGGCTGCACCACCTTAATAAAGACGAAGTACAGAGAGGAAATTAAAGCCCCGCCTCCCTCCTCTAATGAAATCATATCCATCATGTTCTTTAACCTATTGTACAAGCCCCACCCCCTCCACACACACACACACACACAGCTGTGTATCATCACCATCACTCCTGTCAGCTTGTTTCACGATGTGAGTATTTGGGTTTTCTGCTCTCTACACTTTGACTCCGCCTCCTTTGTTGTGACAGCATTGCATTTATCTGATCGCTTCAGATCAATTAAACAAAATATAGTCGACTAATTCAATCATAAGGATAAGAGTTCATTGATCCCTGAAGTAAATTCATTCAACATCTTATTTAGATGTTGACACTTTCACCTGGAGCAGAGTGTTGAAGCTTCTCTTTGTCGTCTCACATCTCTTCCTGCTGTCACATGATCATGATCAGGAAATGATCATAAAATACATCAGTGATCAAATATGAAACCTTAAGCTGCTTCAGTACTGATACTGTGTGTGTGTGTGTGTGTGTGTGTGTGTGTGTGTGTGTGTGTGTGTGTGTGTGTGTGTGTGTGTGTGTGTGTGTGTGTGTGTGTGTGTGTGTGTGTGTGTCCAGTATCTCCTGTCTCCCAACAGCAGGGGGCAGTAGAGACACAGTGTGAGCTGCAGACAGGAATCTGGACGGACAGAAACTGAGATTTGGGAACGATGACGTCACAGCCACGGTCTCCTGATGTGGTCAGGTGTGTTTTCAGGTGTGTTTGTGGACAGAGATGGATTTAGTTTGAAAACGTATCAGTGGGCGGTTTGTGTGGAAAACACAGTGTTTCCATGGAGACGCCTCAGACTCATGTTCAGACAGAGGACAGTTTCTCTGCTGTTCACCATCTGTGCGATGAGGACATTGACTCTGAGCGTGACCGCTTTGCGACAGTGGCCTCATAAACCCTCGCAGACTCTCCCTGGGCGTCACTCGGAGTCCCGGGGGGCCGGGCATCCTCCTGCTGGGCCCCATGGAGATTATTGCTCTGCCTAATGGGCTGAGGATATTACTTTGGCTGACGGGCAAACAGCAGCAGCACCTAGCGAGCTTATTTCCCCCGAGACTTCTGAATCACATTTCCAACGACCCTCGCTGGAGAGGTTTGGTAAAACTGTCGGTGTGAACCCCCCAGGGGAGAAAACGGCAGCTTCATCAGCATAACGCCAAACAAATCAAATACGGCGAGGAGGCCGAGCCAGACTCCTTCATCAGACCTCCAGCCTCGCTCTGTGGGACCAGGTGATGGGGGGGACTTCTCCGTCACACGTCCGGTCTGAGGCTTCAGATCAATCGATCGACTGTCTGGTTCAATACGGTGTGAACATGTTGAAGCTTCACACACAGACTGAGACGTTTTAATCCTCCTGCAGAGACCACTGACTGTAAAACAGCGTTCTTAAAGAACTGTTCTGTCTTAACCAAAATCACTTTAAAGCTCCTCCAGTGTAAAGGTCTGTGTCCATGTGTAGTGTGATTATAGATCAGCTCTAGCTTCTATATTAATACTGTGAAAGTATCAAAGCCTCAGTCCACAGAGAAATGCACACAGCCTGTATTCAGAAACTGAGCCTTAAAACCAGCCGTCAGGACTTCTGGAACTTTGTGATGTCACAACAAAGCAGTCACCAAGCCCCGCCCACCTGGACCCACCATCCAAACCTTGCAGGATTTGGTTTCTCTGTAGTTTGTCTGCAAGAAAAAAAACGTCTGATCCTTTATGAAGTAAAAGAAAATAAGTCACAGAGATGTGAGATGAAAATGTCGTCACTTCCTCACTGCACCTGTAACAATCCAAGTGTTGATTAATCTGCCGCTGAAAACAGTCCACAACACATGCAGCGTTTCCTCCTGTTGTTGGAAGCTGCGGTGAGCAGCTGTAGAACGGACACAGACCAAAGCTCAGTGAGGTTCAGGTGTCGTCGTTGCTGTTTTACCTGGACGGTGTTTGACAGCGTCGCTGCACTGAGGTTCATCTGCAGGTTGATTTCCACGTCTCATTATCAGCTAAAGGTCAGAGATGAGTCGTCATTAGTCAGACTGCTGCCATCGATCCTCTTCACCTCCGACTGAACGCAGAGCTTTAGCACAAACGGCGGCTCCGCAGATTATCCTGAAGGAAGCGGAGGACGCTCAACGATCAGAGAAAACACACGGGAGGAAATCCATGTGTATGAATCTTTTATTGTCTCTGGAACCTGTCTGTGCCCCCCCCCCCACCCAACACACACACACACACACACCTCTCTCTCTTTAGTTCATTCCTCCGTCACACTCGGCTGCTCGTCAGGTCTGCAGCACCAGGGGTGGGGGGCAACAAGTTCACATGGGTTGACATGAAAAGAAATGATGATTCCACGCCCCAGACGTGGTCTACAGGATCCAGGTCTGGAGACTGGGTGTGTGGCATGTGTTCCTGGCCCTCTGATTGGCTGATTGGATATCTCAGTAACACCTCGACAGAACTTCTTCAAATTCTGCACAAACATTCACTAGGACTCAGGGATGAACTGATTATATTTTGGTGGCTAAAGGTCAAAGGTCAAGGTCTCGTTGACCTCAGAAACATGAACATGAACTTCTCAGGAATCTCAAACATTCAGTTGGACTGAAGGAGGAACTGATTAGACTTCGGTCGTCTGAGTGGAAGAGGTGATTCTGGTTTGTGTTGTTATTGTGTGTTTTAAGTGTCCAGGTGTACCGACACACAATTTAAACTCCTCCCCCTTCCCTCCATCCTCATCAAATCCCGCTCCCTGACGTTCCGCCGCCCTCCGCAGGACGCGGTGGGGGAGACACATCTGCAATTCATACTTTGCCCTTTCTCAAATCACATTTCTCCTGCGTGTCAGCGCGGCTGATTGTCTGATCAGGAGGCGATGACGCCTCCCAGACAGGAAGTGTGAACGTGTCACACGTTAAATCCCCTCAGCAGAGATTACAGCAGACAGCGGCGCTGAGCTCTGACACCCGGAGGCTGAATCCTCCCGGACCACATGCAAATGAGGAACATCCCAAATTACCTCATGCATGAAGAGACACAATCAATAATTATCAAGCGGCTTCTTCTCGGCGCCTGCTCTGCATGCTGATCCACAGGGAGGCGGAGCTTCACAGGCGACCTGTCGACTCTCATAGACATTTCGGTTCATTCATCATAAATGGTTTGAAAATTAATGATGTTTTATGAAGAATTTTCACGACATGTTAGAAATGTGACAAATGAAGCTCTGAGGAAATGACGGTTGTGACTTTGACGTCGTCAGAGTCTAAAACACAGAATTACTTTAGAAAATCATTGAAATCTGTCCCGTGGGTGAAAGTCTGTGTTTGCTTAATTAATTCCAGAGGGAAAAACATGCACTGCACTAACTTGTTTTCACTAACCTGTTTTCATGTTTTGTGATTTTGTGTGTGTGTGTGTGTGCGCGCGCGCGCGCCTCTGTAACCCTATGCCGCCCTGTTCGGGCCACACAGCGACTGTCAGTCAACCTGCTTTTATTTTGAAATTCTCCAGACAGGCAAACTGTCAGGTTTCCAGCCTCTGTCCATCCTTCTTCCTGTTCTCCAACTTGTTTTTTTCTTTTCAGACTCTCCCGGTGGCCTTGACTCGCCACACCGCCCCTCACCCACCCCTCATTGACCTCTGACCCCACATTGCTGTGAGCCACACAGAGCAAGCAAACAAACAGAAACGTGAGCTGGGCTCAGTGGGAGCTGAGAGGTGGAGCTCTGAAGTGATGAAGATGAGTGATGATGAGACATTTTGTCCTGGTGGAAGAAATACACACTATTGAATCAATACAGGATGCAGCATTTTATTTTGAAATGCAGGGCGATCTGAGATTGAAGTATTTCATGCGAAAAACGTATTTCAGCTGAACAGCATTATGTTAATTCATTTGTTTTTTTTACTTTTCTCTGAATTTTAATTGATATAATTGATCATTTTATTCCTTCTAAAACCTTTTAGTTGTTTTGATTTAATTACATTGTCTTTTGGTGAACAATGAATTTCCTGTTTCTATGGAGACAGGCGAGGGCGGCACAAAGCTTGCTCAGTCAAGGTTGACATTATTTGAATCTGCAGACTGACGGTTGTAACTTCACTTCCTCTACAGTCGTTTTATTTTTTAAGGTAAAAATCACTGAAACAGAAAAAAATTAAAACTTCACAAACACTAAAATGTTGAAATTTAAAAACAGTAAG